ATTCCGACTTACATACAGATTCAACTTAAGAACAAACCTAAAGTCCCTATCTTGTACGTAACCCAGTGACTACCTGTAATGGCAAAGCTCCCATTGACTGTATTACTATCAGGATTTCACACTAGTGCTTCCTGCCATTGAGATATTCGGGATCAAAACCACTCCGTGAAAAGGACAGAGATCTTACATAATCTAAAAATCAAGAAGGAATCCTATAAAATGTGCAAACTAGGTTAAATTTCAAAAGATGAATATAAGCAAACAACGCATGTATGCATGGGCAAGACTAGAAAGGCAAAGGCACAAAAAGAGCTCAATCTAGATAGAGTCATAAAGAGTAACGATGTTTTACAAGAATATTTGGAGCAAGAGGAAAACCCAATAACAGGATAGGCCCATTGCTCGGTGAAGAGGGAGTAACAGGAAACTTGGAAATGGCAGAGATGCTTAACGACTTCTTTGTTTTGGTTTTCGTCAAGAAGATGGATGGTGATGGGATGCCTAATATAGTGAATGCTAGTGGAAATGGAATAGGTTTAGAAGTTAAAATAAAAGAACAAGTTAAAAATTACTTATAAAAGTCTGCAAGTCACTAGGGCCTGATGAAATGCATCCAAGAATACTCAAGAATCTGATAGAAGAGGTATCTGAGCCTTTAGCTGTCATTGTAGAAAAATCACGGAAGTAAGGAGAGATACCAGAAGACTGAAAAAGGGCAAATATTGTGCCCATGTATAAAAAGGGAAATAAGAACAACCCAGGAAACTACAGACCAGTCAGCTTAACTTCTGTGCTAGGGAAGATAATGGAGGAAGTAATTAAAGGATTCATCTGCAAACATCTGGAAGAAAATAAGGTGATAGTTAACAGCCAGCATAGATTTGTGAAGAACAAATCATGTCAAACCAACCTGATAGCTTTCTTTGATAGGATAACAAGTCTCGTGGATAAGGGAGAAGCGGTGGATGAGGTATACATGACCGTATCAATAAACTAGGGAAATACAACCTAGATGGGGCTACTATAAGGTGGGTGCATAACTAGCTGGATAGCCTTTCTCAGAGAGTAGTTATTAACAGTTCACAATCATGCTGAAAGGGCATAACAAGTGAGGTTCCACAGGGGTCTGTTTTGGGGCTGGTTCTGTTCAATATCTTCATCAGTGATTTAGATGATGGCATAAAGAGTACAATTATTAAGTTTGCAGATGATACCACGCTGGGAGGGGTTGCAAGTGCTTTGGAGGATAGGGGCAAAATTCTCAATCATCTGGACAAAGGAGAGAAATGGTCTGAGGTAAACAGGATGAAGTTTAATAAGGACAAATGCAAAGTACTTACTTAGGAAGGAATCTGTTTCACACATACAAAATGGGAAGTGATTGTCTAGGAAGAAGTACTGCTGAAAGGGATTTAGGGGTCATATTGGACAAGAAGTAAAACGAGTCAACAGCGTGATACCATTGCAAAAAAACAAACATGATTCTGAGATTCAGTAATATGTGTGCTGTGAGCAAGACAGGAGAAGTCGTTCTTTTGCTCTACTCTCCACTGATTAGGCCTCAATTGGAGTATTGTGTCCAGTTCTGGGTACCATGTTTCAAGAAAGATGTGGAGTAATTGGAGAAGGTCCAGATAAGAGCAACAAAAATGATTATAGGTCTAGAAAACATGAGCTATGACGGAAGACTGAAAGAATTGGGCTTGTTTAGTTTAGAAAAGAGAAGACTAAGAGGGGACATGATAGCGGTATTCAAGTATCTAAAAGACTGTTACAAGGAGGAAGAAGAAAAATTGTTCTCCTTGGCCTCAGGATAGGACAAGAAGCAATGGACTTAAATTGCAGCAAGGGAGGTTTAGGTTGGAAATCAGGAAAAACTTCCGCCTGTCAGGGTGGTTATACACTGGAATAAATTGCCTAGGGGTGTTGTGGAATCTCCATCACTGGAGATATTTAAGAGCAGGTTAGACAAACACTTGTCAGGGATGATCTAGACAGTGCTTGGTCCTGTGGTGAGGCCAGGGGGATTGGACTCGATGATCTGTCGAGGTCCCTTCTAGTTCTAGTGTTCTATGATTCTATGACTAGGTTCTTATTGTATTAGTGATTTCTTGGCAAGAAATTATACATTAAAATTTGACTTCAAAATATGCATTCATTTTGTTGGCAAAATACTATAGGATTGATCATTTGTGGTTTTACAGCATTCATTAGGTGTTATAATGGAATATTTAAACATACAATTTTATTTTTTCAATACCCTAATAATTTAATAATTTTATAGTGATGATGAAAGATTGATAGGCTAGACATTTGATTTATTACTAAAGTTAGTGGGATGCCTGTAAACTACATTTTATTGAGTCAACATTCAGGAAGATATTGTATGCAGCACATACAACTGTAATGGCAACATAAAACAGTTCATTGATTTGTTATTGCAGATTTTGAAGGGTTTGCATTCTCTGTCTCTCTCTCTCTCAAAGTAGCAAAGAGTCCTGCAGCTGTTGCTTCAAAAAGATCTGTCTTAACTGTCAGCGCAAGAAAAATTAAAGATAATGCAGCAGACTGGCATAATTTAATGATGAAATGGGAGACCCTGAATAATAATGGATTTACTACTGCAAACAAAATTGTAAACTTGAAAATTAGTGCACAGTGAGTATGCTAAAAGGGCTGGCGAATAATAACAATGCAGAGCTCACCTTTTCTGTGAAACTACTGGTTTTCCATGAACAGGAAGCTTTACAAAAAACCACAACGTGGACAGTTTGGTATTCTCAAACAGTAGCATTTTGTGATTGTATAAAATCAAAAGCCATACCTGGTTTTCAAGGTAAAAGTTGGGTAACCTCATAAAGTTGCTGTATTTGCTGCAAAATGTTTTTATGCTTTACTTTAAATGTTGTTAGAAAATTGGGGTTTGATCTTACAAACCCTTACTTACTCAGGCTTTGTCTGTACCGCACAGCTTTTCCGGGATATCCAAGGAACGTGTCCGCTTTTCCGGAAAAAAAATATCAGAAAAGCTGACATGTTTTTTTCGGCATCCCTGTAAACTTCATTTTACAAGGAAGAAGGGCTGTTCTGAAAGAGGGTTTTTTACCAAAATTTGGCCCCGTGTAGACGGGCCAAATTTTGGAAAAGCCTCTTTTGGAAGTAAATCAGAAAAAGATATGCAGTTTGCATACCACGAATTGCGTTTCTTTTTCCGATTTATCTTTGTAGTGTAACACAGCCTCAGACAAGTTTTCTCTGAGACTCAAATCAGTGTTACATAATAACAGAGATCAAGAGCTTCTCAGAATTTAAAAAAGGATTTGCCATTTACATGAATAACAGAAATGTCCTGAGCTACAGCAGTAAAGATTGTAAAAAGCCAAATACTTTGGAAGGGACATAATTCCTGCTTCAGGACATAAAACAGCCTATAATTAATGGGTATTAGGAAGAAACTTTCCTTGTGTACAGGCTATTCCTTAATAGCCTAATGTAGGGGGTTTGTGCTTTCCTCTGAATCGGTTGGTACTAGCCACAGTTGAACACTGAACAAGCTAAACCATTCTAATCTTGTACAGCAATTTCTTTGTTCTACCCCTGTCAGAGAGGCTCTTGTAGGCTTAAACCAGGGGTGGGGAACTTAAGGCCCAGGGGCCGAATGAGGTGCCTGGCTTGCCTGAATCTGGCCCCTGAGGCTTAGGGCTCCCCACCCCCCAGCAACATCCGTGGTCCAGACCAGAGAGTCGTAGCCGCAGAGGCTGAGACCAGCTGGGAATGGAGCTGCTCTGGTTGGTGGCAGCCCACAGGCCCAGTTACTTCGGGGCAAAGAGTTCTGGGACAGCAGAGACTGCTGCCCTGCAGGGGAGCCCCAGAAATATCATCTGCCTTGCACAGGGGCCAGGTGGCCAGGGGCAGGGAGCCCCAGGAGCAACTTGCTGCCTTGCTCAGGGGCTGGGGGCAGCAGAGCCAGGCAGGTGGGTGGGTGGGAAGAGATCAGGCCTCCAGGTTCTCCCAGGGTGATGGCCAGGAGGGGAGCATGGGAGAGCCGGGTGGGAAGAGATCAGGCCTCCAGGTTCTCCCAGGGTGATGGCCAGGAGGGGAGCATGGGAGAGCCCCGAGGTCTGACCTCCCCTGGTCCAGCAAACTCCCTTCCTCAGGGTTGTTTAGTTCCTGAGGGTGCCTGACCGGGGAAATCCAACCTGTATTTGCACTAATATATGCTTTTGTTTAGATTTAAAGAGAACAAGCTGGATATAGAATGTGACAAGATTGCTTCTGACTGTGGAAAACAGTCAGCAGACTATAATGAAAAACTTGAGATATTCTGTGAAGAATTGCTTGGGACTTTTGAAAACATGGTAATGTTCATTTGTTTATCTTTCAAATTGTGTATTTCCTTACCTAATGAAGCCATTTTTGACACACGTTTGTCCAAGTACAAGCTAACCAAGTAATGCTAAATGTTTACTGAAAATATACTTTCATAAGGCTTTCATTCAGATAACTAACTGCAGTTGCAAATTATTTGAAGTACTGTGCACTATGGTTATGAGATTGATTTGAAAATTAAAAGTTGATTTTACATCCTTCTCCTGTCTCCCCCTCTGTTCTCCTTTTCATTATATGATTTTTAAAAAATTATGTAAGATAATACAATGCCAAAATTGTACCCATTGTTTATTCTTTCTCATCCTAAACTTCCCACGTGTTCAAAACAAAACAAGCATCAAGTTAGAAAGAGGGCTGAACAGTTCAGACCTAATATGATGTGGTATCAATAAGCATATGTCTATGCAGAAATTAGAGGTGTGATTGCAGAATATATACCCAAGCTAGCTTTAACCTAGTTTGAGTAGTAATAGCAGTGAGGCCACAGCTGCACAGGCTGTACAAGTCCACCTTGGACCCTGTGTACATACCTAACTAGCAATCCCAGGACCATACACAAAGGGTGGGTGTGAATGCATCCCTTCATGGTCCGCCCTGGGGCTAATTCTGGCCGGTCTGGGAAAGGCGGAGGCAGCATGCTGCCAGTCTCCCTCCCCTGTGGTCTGGTGAGCTTGGGGAATGGCAGAGGCGGCGCGCTGCCCCATCCTCCCTCCCCTGTGCCCCAGCCAGTTGGGGGAAAGCAGAGGTAGTGCGCTGTGCCAGCCTCCCTCCCCTGTGCTCTGGACGGCCGGAGGAAAGCACAGGAGGCATGCTGCCAGCCTGTCTCCCAAGCTCTGGCCAGTTGAGGGAAGCCTGGGGCTGATTCCCTTCCTTCCTGCTGCAAGAGAGAGGCTGGAGGCAGCAGCTCTCACACACCCAGAAATTCCTGCGTACGGGCCTGAATCCCATGCAGCTATAGCTTCATTGCTATTATTACTCACACTAGCTAGATAACTGTATCATGAGTATGTCCATATGTCACACCTCTGATTGCAATGTAAACACAACCTACCAACTATATTTTGTTTTTGATTTGACATAATTCAGTTTCCAGCTCTCCCTGGACCCAATCCAGAGGTGGGGGTATGGCGGCATAGGCTTTCCGTCAGCAGCACTACGGGCTCAGCTCAGGGATGGAAGGGACCATGCAGGCCACCTGGGGGCAGTGGGAGCTATGCAGTAGCTGACATCTGCTTCATGGCCAGGCCAGGGTGTTGGCTGCTGCTGGCTGCTGCTGACCAGTGGCTTCCCGTTGGTGTGCTTGCTGGCCCCCTATTGTAATTGTACACTTCATCTCCCTTCTACCAGACCCCCTTCCTTTCCATTTTATGAGAAACAGTTGAATTCCAGGCACATCCCAGTGTCCTGGGTACAACCAATCACTAAGTTAAGATTAGAGGATACCAAATTTGATGGTCCTCGTTCTTACTGCTTAGGAGGAGTTCTTGAATAAATGGACTCACGGACAGGCACATTTCTAAAATATATAGATAGATTTGTATGATGGTAGATTGAATAGTTCTCTGCAAGCTGGAGAAAATTCCAATGACTGGTATAAACAGAAAAATACTCCAGATACAAGTTTGGTTCTCTAGAGAAAATAGGAGTAATGATTCTGTTTCTTGCTTTGAGTTAGTCATGACTCAGCCCATTAACTGCACTGGTGTACGATGTCATTCCTGTTGAGCCTTTAGTCTAAATAACTTGTGGTGGATTAGACAATACATACAGGGGCGGATATAGGGCAGGGCGAACGGGGCGGCCGCCCCGGGCCCCGCGCTTAAAAAAGCCCCGCACATGCGCCGCGGCGCCACTGCGCATGCACTTGGCATCACAGCGCATGCGCCGTGGCAAAGGGGGGCCCCGCAAAACAGTCATCTGCCCCTGAATACATATATACATACATTATTTTCCACTGTTTATAATCATATGTACCATATAATCAGGATTTTACAGTATGACATAATGCTCCTGAATTCTTTACTGTAAGATGCTTCAGCAAGCCTCAATGATTTAATTACCGTATATACTCATTCATAAGCTAACTTTTTTTGGGAAAAAATCCCAATATGAAGAGAGAGAGTCATCTTATAAATGGGTTCTAAAAAGGCAGAGCAGCAGCGGAGGACTCGGCTCAAGCTGACACACAGAAGTCCCAGCTTGCATCAGGTCCCAGATGCTGCCACTCTGCCTTTTAAATGTAGTAAATGCCTTGTGGCTCTTAAAAGGCAGAGCCACAGCACTCTGGGACCTGACCTCCCCCGAGCCAACTTACAGAAGAAAAAATGGTGAAAAGTCCCTGGCCCATCTGTAAGGTCCCAGACCGTTGTACTCTGGAGTTGGCTTATAAACAGGTAAATGACTTTGTACCATTTTTTCTCTGTACATTTTTTGGGGGGGGAGAGTGGTGTCAGCTTATAAACAAAAGGGCTTATGTTTGAGTATATATGATAATGGTTTCATAGATTTCAAAGCCAGATAGGACTATTATGATCATCTACCTTCTGTATAACAATGGCACAGAACTTCCTCAAAATAATTGCTTGAGATATATAATATTGGTTTTAAAATGGTCAGTGATGGAGAATCCATGAGATTGTTGGTTAAGTTGTTCCAAGAATCAATTACACTCACCATTAAAAATTTACTCATTTCCAGTTCGAACATGTCTAGCTTCATCTTCCAGCCATTGGATCATTCCCTGTTAGATTGAAGAACCCATTGTTAAATATTTGTTCCCCATGTAGACATCTATAGAAATCAAGTCATCCCTTAACCAACTCTTTGTTAAGGTAAACAGATCAACTCGAGCTCAAGCACTATACAGCATGTTTCCAGTCTTCTAATCATTCTGGTGGCTCTTCTCTGAACCCTTTCCAAACTATCAACATCCTTCTTGAATTATGTGCACCAGAATAGGAGGACGGAGTCTTCCAGCAGCAGTCACAGGAGTGCCAAATGCAAAGATAAAATAACCTTTCTACTCCTACTTGAGATTCCCCTGTTTATGCATCCCAGAATCACATTAGCTCTTTTGGTTACATCATCACACCCGGAGCTCATGTTCAGCTGATTATCCTCTACAACCCCCCAGATTTTTTTCAGTCACTGCTTCCCCCATCTAATAAGTATGGCTTACATTCTTAGTCCCTGATGTGTATATACATTTAGCTATATTAAAAGATAAAGTGCGCTTATGTCCAGTTTACCAACCAATCCAGATTGCTCTGAATCAGTGACCTGACTTTTTCATTATGTACCCCACCTCCAAATTTTGTGTCACCTGCAAACTTTATAAGGAATGATTTTATGTTTTCTCCCAGGTCATTGATAAAAATGTTAAATAGCATAAGGTTAAGAATTTATCTCTGCAGGATAAAACCTACAGGATTATTATTCACCGTTTATAGTTACATTTTAAAATCTATAGGTTAGCTCTATCATTTGTTTCCTTAGATCAGGCCTGGGCAAAATACAGCCCACCACTGGATCCTGCCTGTAGAGCCAGCGGGGAGCCCCAGGCAGGCTCTCCTGCTTGCCCTGCAGTACCGTGCGCTGTGCAGAAATGCGGCTGGAGGGCTCCGTTTCTGTTTTAAAACTGGAGGGGAGGGGGGAAGTTTCAGGAGCCACCTGACCCCATCAAAATCCCATTGGCCGTTTCTGGCCAGAAACCAGACAATGGGAGCTGCTTGTTGGAATAACAAGCAGCCAAGAAGCCACGCCCCCTCTCCTCTGCTCAGTTATTCAAAGAAGCACATGGCCAGGCAAGCAGCAGGCTGGCTGGGAACCGTTTTAAGCTATGAAAGTCTTAGCTTGGCAGGCAGGCAGGCTAGTTTGGGTATATCTACGCTTGCACCCTCTTTCGAAAGAGGGATGCAAATGAAGACATTCGAAATTGCAAAGGAAGCCGGGATTTAAATATCCCGCGCTTCATTTGAATATTCGTGTTATGGCGCTATTTCGAAATAACAGACGCTGTTGAGACACAGTTATTTCGAGAGAAACCCCATCTCTCAAAATAACCCTTATTCCTCATACAATGAGGTTTACCAGTTATTTCAAGAGAAGGGTTTTCTCTCAAAATAACCGCATCTTAACAGCGTCTGTTATTTCAAAATAGCACCATTATGCAAATGAAGTACAGGATATATAATTCATTTGCAATTTTGAATGTCTTCATTTGCATCCCTCTCTCGAAAGAGGGTGCAAGTGTAGACATGCCCTTTGGCAGCTGGCAGGTCCTTTGGCCACAGCCTGCTTCTGGCACCCCAGACTTTTCCTGCCCCAACCCTCTGCCCCCTGCCTCACTCAACATACCCAAAACCCTCTGTCCCCCTCTTACACCCATACCCCCTCCCAGATTTGGCACCCCAGTCTTCTACCCCATATCACAATACCCTCCTACCCTTGGTCACATCCCAAACTCCTGCACTCCAGTCCCCTGCCCTAGGTCACAACCACCTCCTTCACCCAAACTCCCTCCCAGACTCTAGTCTCCCTCCTGAACCCCAATCCCTTACTCCAAGCTCCCTTCTGAATCCAACCTCCATCCTAGACCCTGCATCTCCTCCATTAATATCATGGAAGAGTGTGGCCCTCAACCACTTTCCACAATCTTGGAGTGGCCTCCTCCAACCCCCGTCAAAAATTATTGCCCACCCCTGCCTTAGATAATGCACTGTAGTTAATTCCCTTCTACTTTCTAATCATTCAAGAATACTACTATGGAGAAGTGCCCACATTGCTGTTAACACCGAGTTACCCTAATTACTGGCAATTTTGGGAAGGGGTAAAAGATTTAAATATCACAGAGACTGTGTTTCCATACCTAGAGGTGGTCCCACCAGGTTAAGGCTGGAGGATGTGGGTAAGGAAGCTTGCACTTTTTTATTAACTTGAAGCACTCATCATTTTCAGGCAAAAATACATCTGAAAATGGAAAAATTGTATTCAACTACTAAAGGAATTTGTGACCTAGAAACTTACCACTATGAAAATGGAGATTGCAGAGCACCACTTTTTCACACATGGCCCACTATGTACTTCTGTAAGTAGAATGTTTTTCACTCTTGTAAGTCATCCTCTAGTATTTCCTAATGAGGGGCATTTTACGAGTCATTTGATGTCATGTGTTATTGAAATAGTAGTTTAAGAATTGAAAAATATGCCCTTAACTTTTATCAATGTAAGATGATAATTTTGCCTTATGTAATGAGTGTGTCTGTCTTTCAAATTGAGTAGTTAATAGATAATTTAGTGCATCAGTTAACTTAGAACAGTAGCAAAATGCAGGACAATGTAGCACTTTAAAGACTAACAAGATGGTTTATTAGATGATGAGCTTTCGTGGGCCAGACCCACTTCCTCAGATCAAATAGTGGAAGAAAATAGTCACAACCATATATACCAAAGGAAACAATTTTAAAAAATGAACAAATATGAAAAGGACAAATCACATTGCAGAACAGAAGGGGGATGCGGGGGGGTGGGAAGGGGGAGGAAGGAAGGTAAGTGTCTGTGAATTGCTGATATTAAAGGTAGGGAGAGTGGGATGTTTGTGAGTTAATGGTATTACAGGTGATAATTGGGGAAACTGTCTTGATAATGGGTGAGAAAGTTCAAAGACTTGTTAAGTCCCTGGTGGTAAGTGTCGAATTTTAACATGAATGACAGTTCAGAGGATTCCCTTTCAAGTGCAGATGTAAAAGGTCTTTGTAGCAGAATGCAGGTGGCTAAGTCATTTAGAGAGTGTCCTTTCTGGTTAAAGTGGCAAGAAACTGTTTTCTCTTTGTGATCTTGTCTAATATCTGTTTTGTGGGCATTAATCCTTTGGCGAAGTGTCTGAGATGTTTGTCCAATGTACATAGCAGACGGACACTTTCGGCACATGATAGCATAGATTATATTTCTGGATGCGCAGGAATATGTGTTCTTGATCTTATAACTCACTTGGTTAGGTCCAATAATGGTATCAGCAGAATGAATATGTGGACAAAGCTGGCAACGGGGTTTGTTGCAAGGGAAGGTACCAGGGTTGGTATTAGTGTGGTATGTCCTGTGGTGGTTGGTAAGAATCATCTTGAGGTTAGGTGGTTGTCTATAGGAGACTATGGGTCTGTCTCCCAGAGCCTCTTTGAGTATGGTATCCTGTTCCAATATAGGCTGTAGTTTATTGATAATGTGTTGGACAGGTTTAAGTTGGGGGTTGTAGGTGACGACAAGTGGTGTTCTATTGTTGGTTTTCTTGGGTCTGTCTTGAAGTAGTTGGTTTCTAGGTATTCGTCTGGCTCTTTCAATTTGCTTTTTTATTTCTCCGGGTGGGTAGTTGAGGTTTATAAATGCTTGGTAGAGATCCTGAAGCTTCTGGTCTCTGTCAGTGGGATTAGAGCAGATGCGGTTGTATCAAAGGGCTTGGCTATAGACGATGGATTGTGTGGTGTGTTCTGGATGGGAGCTGGAAGCATGTAGGCAACTGTATGAGTCGGTGGGTTTTCTGTAGAGAGTGGTGTCTAATTTTCCATTGTTGATTTGTACTGTGGTGTCCAGGAAGTGGATCTCTCGTGTAGAATGGTCCAGGCTGAGGTTGATGGTGGGGTGTAGGTTGTTGAAATCTCTGTGGAATATCTCCAGTGTTTCTTGGCCATGCGTCCAGATCATAAAGATTTCATCGATGTACCGTAGGTAGAGAAGGGGTGAAAGGGGACGGGAGTTGAGGAAACGTTGTTCTAGGTCAGCCATAAAGATGTTAGCATACTGTGGGGCCATGCGTGTACCCATGGCTGTGCCGCTGATCTGGAGGTATAAGTTGTTCTCAAACTGGAAATAATTGTGGGTGAGAACAAAGTTACATAGGTCTGCTATCAGGTTGGCAGTGGTGTCCTCTGGGATAGTGGCAGGAAAAAGGGGATGTGCTGGACCAACTGTTATTGAAAAAGCCCCAAGAAATGTGGTTGCAATCATTTCACCTACAATTCTGCTGAATTCCATGGGAGTTTTGGATGAGCAAGGAAAGCAGGTTTGAGCCTTTGTCAAATATTTTGTTCATAGTTGACAATTCAAGGGACAATAGCCAGGTACATTTCTTTAAATACCTTTACTCCTATTACTAGCAACTCTTTACATTAGATAGCATTTCAAATTATTTCCACCATTCTTCACTCTCACAAATAATGTAGTTAGTTAAGCAGACCAGCCTTACTTCCTCTCATGTACTTGCAGTATTTGGGTTAATATTGTTTGCAGGTTAGGTTTTAGTGGTGGCCTAAAAGTATCAAGGTATCTAGAACACATATGCAATTTTTTTATTCAAAGTATTAATAACTTTTTAAATGAACATGTTCCTCTAAAAAAATAACTTACACAGTATAATTTTTACACAGCTCGTTCTAGAACACTGCTTTTGAGACTAGAAAAAAAGGGGATTTTATACTGAGAAAACATATGTGGTAGAAAGATATCCAATACATGAGCAATAAATTTGGCATTTCATATTGCAAGGAAGAGCAGGATGGCTGATGTACCCTAAGGAAAAGAGGATACTTATAAAAGCTTGTGTACTGTAATAGCTAGGATTTTTATTAATGATTTTTGGAGTTGCTTATATATGATTATGGTATGTATAAATTGTTCTATCCATTTCAGATGAGGTTTCATTCAAGCTCTCTGAAATGTACAAGGAGGAACTACAACTTAAGCAAACAATTGTGCAAGAGATTGCTCATACTGCTGACCAGGATCTTATGATGGTTTATTTATCATCTTGGTTGTACCAGCCTTACATTGAGAACAGCAGTAAACTACTGCTAGAAAGCATGTTGCTGGAAACAGGACATAGACAAGTGTAACATTTAAGACTGCTTCTAATACTCATTTGCAACAAACTGCAAGATAAATTGCTATTTATAAAAGTTATTAAAATCTGTTTTTTCCTCTCTTTGTATTTACTGGTTTCATTTGTCCTTTTCTTGGTTGATATGAAGCAACTAGGTGAATTATCACCTTCACCATGGTATCTTAATACCTCAATTTTAAATGTGCTATTATCCCCCAATTATACATGGGGAATCAAAGTAGAGGCTTGGGGTCAAATCCTGAATGGTAGGCAGAAACCTAAATCATACAGAAGACTGCAGTGGGATAGAGAATTGAACCAGTGTCATAGGAATCTTGAGCTAGAGCCCTCACCCCTGGGATATCCTCTCTCTCAATACCCACAAAATCTTGCTCCTTCTGTGTTGAGCTGTCTCATACAAAGAAATTAAAGATTGATTGCTTTATCGTTGTGTTCATACACAATTTCTGAAGCTTCAGGGCAGCATGCACAACTATTAGCTAAAGCTGTATCTCTGTGGCATGGGAGTTTTGCCATGGATCTAAATAGCAGCAGTGTCAGGCCTAACCCCATGAACACTTGACACACAAAGGCTGTGTTTACACTGGCGCAATCTTGCGCAAAAGCTACCGCTTTTGCACAAAAACTTGCTGCCTGTCTACACTGGCTGCGAGTTCTTGTGCAAGAACACTAACATTCTAATGTATGAAATCAGTGCTTCCTGCGCAAGAACGATGATGCGGCCGCTCAGGAATAAGGCCTCTTACGCAACTGTTCTTGCGCAAGAGGCCAGTGTAGACAGGCAATATGAATTTCTTGTGCAAGAAAGCCCTATGGTTAAAATGGCCAACAGAGCTTTCTTGCGCAAGAGAGCATCTACACTGGCATGGATGATCTTGCGCAAAGGCACATGCCAGTGTAGACGCTCTCTTCTGGAAGAGTTTTTGTACAAGAACTCTTCCGCAAGATCATGCCAGTGTAGACATAGCCAAAGTCTTTAAACTAGATGCTTTTCAAAGGGGAGTCAAAGTAGAGCACAGCAGGGGGAAGAAGTTTTCATGGTCATCTAGGTTAATTGAATATTGCATTTAGTAGCAGTGGGGACTTCTTCGAAGTATGTTTCCATCTTAACTTGCAAGAATCAAACTTCAGATCACAAATACATGATTGGTATCTAGGCCTATGTCTGATAGGCTCTGGTCAGCCATAACTGAAGTGGACACAGAGGATACTTAGGCATCCAAAACTGCAGCTAATTCAACATTCTGAATGATGCTATAGAAGAGACAAGTATCTCAGAGCACTTCCCTCTTCCTGTAGTCTGTCTTAGCTTGATCCTCTTCTATTGACTGGATTCAACTTTAGCTATCTGAATACATAGGTAGCAAAATCACTTAAGACATAGTGCTGTTTACACTGGACTGCAGGGGAGGACAGCTGCATAGGGTAGGTACTTACCTGTTTTTGTAATTCTCACCCCCCTCTCATACAGCTGCTGAGAATTTGGGGAGGATAGAGTCTTGCAGGCATTAGAAGTGAAGGAACAACTACCCATTGTGACCTTCTGAGGTCAGGGAGAAAAAAGAGGAGGATGGGCATTAGCCATTTATGGATAGTTGTCACCAGTTGCAGCTTTTTAGAGCAGACAGGCCTACTTGGGTTATCAACACTATCAGTTATTCTAATCAGGATGAGTATGAGTGTCTATAGCCAGGTGGTGGTCATCCACCACAGCATCAACACTATTTGACTTTACCTTGTATGTTAAAGAAGCCTGATCAAATGCTCTTCAGATTGTTAAATAGGAATCAGATAATGCTGTGGGATTTTACAGTACTGCTATCTTTATCTGCCACCTTACAGAAGAAGAATAGACAGGAGCTATGCTAACCATTTGCCAGAGTATCATTTTTCAAAAATGAAAGTTTACTTGGAATACAGAAGTGTTGATACCTTATTTTTCCAGTTATGTTTGTGACACAAGACCTATCCACTAATAAAATAAGGTAATAAAAATAAAAATACACTAATACCAATAGGGTAAAACTTCTAGTATCTAGAAAGTACAGCTCCTTTTAATGTTTTTATTTTGCCCATATACAGCATATCACTGATAGGCAGTGCAACACATTTTATTGCATTTCTGTTTAGCCAAAGAGTAAAACTAATATGCAACAAAGGTGCATCATAACTAGGGCTGACATCCCCCCCTCACACAGGCAATTAAGAGCACAAGTTGAATCACGAGTTATTCCTTAGACTTTTTGGTTGCAATATTGTTAATATAAACAAATTATAAAAAAGTACGGGTCATAGAAATGTTTACAAATAAGTTAACTTCAGTATTCACATTAGAAAAATATATATTTAATCAGTCCTTTCCAGAAGAAAGCATCTATAAATAAAACAAGTTTTTTATATTTATGGCTCTATTTCACTTTGAGAGAGCAAAATATCTTCACTTTGGCCATCTGCTTCCATTGCCAGGAGTGCTTCCACAGTTTCCAAAGGAACCCCCTCTGATGTGCGAATGTGCATTGTAGTACCATCAGCATTAGTTACAATCACAATGCCTTCAGCTTGAGATAGAACAGCAGTACCTGGATGAGACAGAATAAGTCCATCTGCAGTCTGAATAAAAATCTGTTCGTGTCCCTGAGATAAGAATTCATGGTTCTCATCAGCAATCTCAAAGGCTACAGTTTCATCTACAGTAACTGCATTCTCTGGCTCATGTTGTCCAGCTTGTGGACTAGCAGAACAACGTGAGAATTCATTCAAGTTTTTAATTGGACTTTCAAGAGTTTCTTGAGTGGGTATGGAGGTTTCTGGATTCTGATGTGGGTCAAGTTGAGTCTCGTGTGAATGGTCTACTGGCACAATGCTTGTTGAAAGTACTTTTTCAAGCTGCTGCATTTGATCAGCAATATCAGCATCATCAAGTTGTTCAGACTGTTCACTGGTAATAGCGTAGTTCTGGTTTTCTTCATCTTGCTGAAGTTTCTGATATTTTCCATTGTGGTGAATTTCTTCATTCATTGAAAAATTGGTACTCTGATTATTAATATCATCTTCTGATACCAAACAATTACAAAGTTCAGAATTTGTAAGTCTATCTTCTGCAGTCTCATTTACAAAGTGAGCTTGAATCAATTCTGGTGAGCTACCTACCTCAACATGCAGCAGTGCTTCAGTACATGGTGGAAATGTGTTAACTATGCTATCTTGTCCCCGTATATTTACAGGTTGAGAGCATTCCATTCTCATTTTCATGGACTGAAAGATGTCTGAATTTACAGAGTTAGCTCTAGATTCTAAATAAAGTGATTTATGTTGCTCCCCAGTATGCTTTGCACTTCCAGTTATGCAAGGAATACCACCTCTATCTTCAGAGAATACAGCCACCCCATTTAGTGGATTAAAACCTGAAAAGTTGGGGGAAAAAGTGTTAGTGTTGTACAATATGATTTTGGACTCAAAGTAATTTTCTACAAGCATCTTTCTAAGGTTTTATTTAAATTTTCCCTCAAGTAGCATTGGATTTTTAAGACAATTATGCTATCGCCCCATAAGAACAACAGTACAAAAATATAAGTGCAGTTCTACTCAGTCTCGGGAAGTCGCTCTGGTGAGTTCCATGTTTATTCTCTTAATGGCTCCAAATCAAATGGCCTTAATTTATTAGAAAGGGTAGTTATTTTCTCTTTTCACAGTCCTGAAAACAGCTTAGGATCAGATATACTGGGTTCTTTCCATCATATTGTCACTAGCAGAAAGACACAGCAGGCCAAATTATGCCCCTTCTGGCCCCTGTGCAACTTACTTTTTTAGTGGGTTCACACAGGTGTAGCTGATTGGATCTTTGTTAAAAAATATATCAAACTTAGTAATAAAAACACTGATATATCAACTCATTCAATTTTAGCAGTTTCTTCTTCATGGTCAACAAGAGTCAAAACTTGTTTTTGTCATTAAGACAGTCACTGCACAAGAGAGACTTGTCAGCTAAGGAAGTGCCATTTTTACATAGGTTTTATGGTGGAGCTGCAGCATAAACTAGCACAAACTTAAGTGTGGGTGCTAATGAATCACAGTTTAACGCTTTTTTTTTTAAATAGAAGTACAGCAGAAAATCCTCTTGTAAATGGAGCAAGAGGAATGTGGTGAGGGATCCTTTGAAGGAGATACATGGAATATTTAAAAAAGTGAAAGGGAAAAAGGGGCAAAAATCAAATGAGCAAAAGCTCAGAAGCTTGTACCAGTGGCAAAAGAGCTATATAATGAGAGAAAGGGTAAAAAGTTGTAGTTCTTACACTGATCTACACTCTGACCAGTCCCACATTCTGTCTTTTTGTTCTGTGTGTACAGTTCCTAGCACAATAGGGTTCTGGTCCATGATAGGGGCTTCTAAATACCATGACAATACAAATAATATTCTTAACTCAGACTTCAGTTCAACAGTCATTTAAAGACCTATAAGACCAAGTGCAAAACCAAGTTTAAGGCATTAAACCAAGTTTATGACATCTGTAGAGACAACAGAAGCTAATGGAATTAACTAAACTGCACCAAACAGAACAGAGGTGGTAAGTTATAAGTTAAACATTACCATCCTTTGTAGTCAGTGTAGATAAGCTCCAGCTCTTTTCCTCTATTGCATTTTGACTGGCAAAAACATCTTTCACGTTCTCCAATATGCCTTCTATACTGGCCCTTTTAGCTGATGGCAACAGTTCTTCGTCTAAATTCTGTCAATACAAAAACTAGCTGGTTTGGTATCACTTACAGAAACAGACTTTTTTATTTTTTTCCAGTGTGAAATGAAACATTACTCCCACCTACAACAAAGCTAGGAAGCCCTTGAAAGAAAATCCTAGCACAACCTTAAATTTTCCAAGATGTTTTCTTGTCTTAATTTTAATGTCTGTTGTAATAAACCTGGTGTTGCGTCACTATTTGAGGGATGAGTCAGAGGGGTCTCACTGGTAAGGTCTGGGACAACTCACACACAAGGAGTATCTATCTACCACAAAAGAAAATCTTGCCTCTATTCCGTCTCCAGCACTGAACTCCCTACCCTAAGTGTGAATGGGAATGGGAAGGCTGACAAGGTCATAGGCTTAAGCACAGGCAGAAAAACAGGAAGATGTTGCAAATACTCCTAAAGACAGCTCTGAGAGCCCATCTGCACTACAAAATTAAGTCAACAATTTAGGTTGACCTACAGACACCACAGTAATTCAGCTAGCTGTTGGTGTCCATACAACCCTCCAGCCAGTAAAGCACATCCTCAACAGGAGTGCTTGCACCCACTGAAGTGGGACATCATGGGGCACTGACAGCCACATGGGGTTCAAAGCTAGAACCCCATCCCAGAGTAACAGCCTCAGTTGCAAGCCCAAGGCTGATTCAATTTCACAGAACCAAGGCTATCAGCAGTGACTTGACATTGTCAATTTCACAGCTGAAGCTGTGAGCAAGTGCTGATGACAAAATGACATCCAGCAGCTGAAGTGAGCAATAGGTTGATTGTGTCCAGACAGACCCTAATTACAGAAGTGCTACACCTCTCATGGAAGTGGAGCTGTTATGTCAGTGCAGCATACCACCTACTTGAGTGGAAACAGCATTTTAGTGTAGACACTGCCATAATAAGGTTGACATAAGCGGCTTTATGTCCACTTAACTCTGCAGAATAGACCAAGCCTGAATTGAGAGAGCAGTTGGAGGGGGGGATCCACAAGGTGGTTATTGGGGAAGGGAATCATGGTATTGCCACTCTTACTTCTGCACTGACTTCAGAGCTGGGCAGTCAGAAAGAGGAGGCTGTTGGACGGGTGCCCAGCACTGCAGCTCTGCCTTAAGAACTAGGCTCCTGGCCAGCAGCTGCTGCTCTCCAGCTCTGAAGGCAGCACCACTTGAGCAGCAGTGCAGAAATAAGGGTAACAGTACCATTAACATCTCTCCACACAACTCCTTTTCAGGTTAGGACCCTTACAATTACAGCATTGAAATTTCAGGTTTAAATAAGCTGAAATATTAACAGTTATCTTTTAAATCCTATGACTCTGAAATTGACCAAAATGGACCATAAATTTGGTAGCACCCCACGCATGATACTGTCAGCCTCAGTGTGGAAACAATCTTGCTAGTAGCCACTGACAACTTTTCCTCAATACACTTAACTATCTTTAGGAAAAACAAATAAATATGCACATACATATCCAAAGATTGTGATTTATGTAAGGGTTTTGCTGGCTCCCCATGGATTCCTCAGGCCCCATCTTCTCCCCCAACTTACCACCACTCCTAGACCTTGCTCCCCCAAAACACATCGTCCCAAGCTCCTTTTCCACAGCCAAGCTCATCCTACTCCTTACCTCTGACCACAGCTCTCAGTAAGGCCAGCCCTGTTGAAGAACCACTGCCCTCAGCTGAAGTCCAGAGCCAAAGCCCCATGGGTAGGAGTGGAGCAGGAGTCTGAAGCCCAGAACCAACAGCCAAAGCAGGGACAGGACTTAAAGCCCACCCCGGAGCCCCATGGATGAAATGGAGTCAGGGGGGCAGCTGAAGACAGCCTCCCTCTCCCCCAGAGCAGATCTTTAATCAGGAAGTCAGGGCAGACACACTGAAAAGCAAGCTCTTTATTTAACTCATTTTGGTATCTCTTCTTAAAAGGAAAAACACTCTCCAATCTGATATTTCAGAGTTACTGACTCAAAAAACTCAGTTACATCTGGAAACATAACTTTAATAAAATGGTAACATTACTGTTAATATTAAAAAATAAGTTAGCATATTTTAAGCAGCTTTAGTGTGACTGTTTATATATTAAATTCACAATTATTTTGTACCTTATTTGCTCGCTTTCTTGTTATCTCTGTGAACATCTGCTCATCCACTGTTTTAGTTACACATTGTGTTGAAGAGTCTGCAGCTTGTATCATTTGTTTTCCAAGAAGCGTCTCTGTAATTCCTAGAGATTCAGCAACCTATAAAACAGTTACGGATAACAATATACAAGTGTATTTTCTCCTATACCAAATTTTCAATACTTATATAGCCAAATTTTTTTGGGATCCACTCGGTCAATCATACAGCTTCAAAAGCTATTTTAGGACTACAACAACATCTACAATTAGCCTTCATTCAAGTGAAGCATCTCAACAGATAAAAGTAATAATCAACAGTGTAAACTTAGAGCAAGAACCAGGAATGTCAGTGACTACTGTTCACAGCTCCATAGTAAATTAATCCTCCCTCTCCCTCCCTCCAATTTTTGCTCTGTTCTGTGAATGTATTGGTTTACTTTTATAGGGATTTTCATAAATGCCAGACTTTCTAAAAGCACATTATAGCATCTATTTAAAAAACAATTACACATGGACTTTGCAAAGAGAAGCAAAAAAGTAGGTCAAATTTCAGACCTACCAACCTTGGTAGCATACCTTTAAATTGGTGCAATTTTGTTTCTCCATAGAAGAAACATGATTGAACATTTACGTGAGTGAGATGAATATGGTTCAATGATAGGGCATCTATAACTTACATTTAGTAGAAAAACTTTAGCACAGTGGTCACCAACCCGTCGATCACAATCAACCCGGCTCAACCAATCAATCACAAGGTGTTCAGTGCCCCGCCCCTCTCCTCCTGTCCCCATTTCCCTCCACCCCAAAGAAGCCCCACTACTTACATCCAGCAACAATGGAGGTAGTGCCAGCTTCCTGTAGGGTGGACGGAAGTCATGAAGCTGCGCGCCACTTCCGGGTGTTCCGGAAGTGCACTGGCTGCTCCCCTCCCCCAGGTCTGTGGCGTGCCAGGAACTTGCAGGGAGGGGGGCCCCAGAGAAG